ATTTTTTATTATTATCATCGACTTGAAATAATAAAGATACTGCTGTTGCTGAGCAATGTTTGTCAATACACGTGAAACATACATATTATTCATCTCGGAAGGTGCAAATCATCCTTACATGGATGAGGTGCACCCTCTTTTTAGCGCATTTTCTCATTTATGGAAAAAATGCACTATTGTCCTCGCCATGTCCGTCTGTCCGTCCATCCGTCCGTCTGTCTGTCCGTCCGTGACTTGACGTTTTCGTCGACAAGAAAATGAGCTCTCTGTCACTCACTGCTGTGAGTACTGAGTTATATTTTTTCAATCATATTTGTGTAATTTAGTATACAGGATTATTTTAAATGATGGACCTAATTTAATAAATTCGTATTTATTTAAGTATAAATTCAAATGAATAATTTACATACCAATGTAAAGACAAAGATTGAAAGTTTTTTTCAACCTATTCAACACGGAATATTCCGCCCCCAACGGGCTAAATATTCCGAAACCTTATGTCCGAAACTTTTGAATCAGTCACTCCCGTCTCCCGAGCGTTGGGTAGGATTCCTAGGAAATGAATATCTTGCTCTACGCTTCTGGCCACCGAGATCACCTGATCTCACCCATGTGACTATTTCTTATGGGGTTACGTCAAGGGAGCTGTTTACGTCCTGCCTCTACCAGCAACTCTGTTCAAGTCCTGCCTCTATGGGGTTACGTCAAGGAAGCTGTTTACGTCCTGCCTCTACCAGCAACTCTGCTCAAGTACTGCCTCTATGGGGTTACTTCAAGGGAGCTGTTTACGTCCTGCCTCTACCAGCAACTCTGTTCAAGTCCTGCCTCTATGGGGTTACGTCAAGGAAGCTGTTTACGTCCTGCCTCTACCAGCAACTCTGCTCAAGTACTGCCTCTATGGGGTTACTTCAAGGGAGCTGTTTACGTCCCGCCTCTACCAGCAACTCATGTTGATCTGAAGAACCGTGTTACTGCTATGCGGTGCACTCAGTAACAGAATATTTGCTTTCTCGTGTGTGGGACGAGTTTGGTTACCGTTTAGATATTTGCCGTGCAGCACAAGGGGGACATATTTAACATTTATAAATATGTAAAAAAAACTTTGACTCTTTTCTTTCCATTGGTGCATGAATTGTGCATTTTAAATTTACACTTAAATGAATACGAATTTATTCAATTTGGTCCATCATTTAGAATGACCATGTATACTACGTCTATAAATTTTACATTGTGTCCTTTAACGTTCAATTTTTTGCCGATAAATGTTATTTGGCGGTTCATTAATTGTTTCATTCATGGGCATCTACAATTCCAGATAATTTTAATGATTGCTTTAAATGGTTTATTAACTTTATCAACGTTAGTAAGTATTTCTGATAGTTATTTTGGCATCGAAGAAACTTGCAATATATTTTCAAGACCATTATTTAACTTGCCTTAGTTGTAATTATATCTAACTGGTGTTCAAAATGTGAAATTTTAGCGTTAGAATTCGTCGCGGCAAAAAGCGTAACTACTTCTTTTAACCATGAGCTAATGATTAGACTTTTGCTTTATTTCGAAATTAAGTTCGTTAAAAACTAAGTTTGCTCAAATGGGTCTCGAAAATGCATGATCACTACAAATTCCTACAACATTATGCATTTTAAAAACTCGCCGAAAACGATTGCATCTTGAATACCGCTGTGTATCCATAATGGCATCTGTGGCTGTCGTTAGAGGGTTGTTAAACATATCATTAGCTTGCCAGGTGCAGTGTTTAATGAAGGCTATGACCTTGAACCTGCCCCTGCTGAATGCCCTTGCATGGGCCGGGTCGTCAGAAAAATTTGTATATGCAAACGTACCAGGCTCCAAACCTCATGCAATGTTTTGGTTTAATTAAAGGTTGCCAACACGCTAACCGGCTTCTAAGTGTAGCTGCGGAACCTAATATGGCAGGCCTATTATTGATTATATATATTATAATATGATTTTAAACAGGTTTACTGATATTATAACATGGCCGACCTATTTAAAATCACACTAAGAGACCATTTTAAATTATATTATAGTCTACCGATGACAGCGCTTTTTTCGTGGCCACACAAATAACTATTATAATGATTTGAATATTCCTCTTTGATCATTTTCATAATCCCATGATGATGTGAGTTAAAATTGTTGCCATTGTACGACTGATTAGCAAAAAAAACTTCATATGAATTTCGAATGATCGCCATCTTGCAGAAATTCATCGAGCAAGCAAAGCAATTTATTTCGCCACTTGTTCAAAATGGTTTATTCTTGAAAACAGTGTTAATTTGTTATCAAATGATAACACTAACAGTAATATGCATACTAACGCTACATATATCTTGACCACCCATTTAATCAAAGTATTCCTAGCGAATATGGACAAACATTATGAAGTGACCGTTTTGACATGAAAAGAGCTTTCCCGTGCTGGAAACGTAAGCCGATTTCGATATATATTAATAATAATTCATATATTAAATAGGTTATATGAACGATAAGATCTAGTGGCCTTTGAATTATTTTTATATTTAACACTTCACTCTTTTGGTCAAGGCCACAAAGTTAAGATAAAACTCGGAACTGCAGCTCTTCGTAGAGGGCAATCTTGAGTCTTTATTGCTTACGATAACAGGCGTCGGGACCATTAATTACAGAGCCGTTATTCTCTTTAATACTGACGCTTGTGCTCAGGATTATTGCTTGCGTTGCGTGACGCTCAGTTAAGAATATTCTCTGGCATTTATCCTTTAGCTTATTCTTCTTCTGATTCAACATTTTATTTTTTTGTAAAATTTCTTTTTCTTGGGTTCATTGTGTTTCCTTAGCTACTTCTTCATTTGTTAGTGTATTTACACTTCGTTCTCTACTTCTACTTTCTGAATTTTTTTCTTTGTGGTTGCTTTCATCCTTGACTCGAGCAGGCCAAGGTTGTTTTCATGCCCTATAATTCCATTCTCAAGCATTCAAATTATCTGAACTTATCCCAAAATTATTTAGACCTTCTAGTCAACACCAAATAAATCGGCGATGATTAAAAACGAATCAAATTTATTACTCTTCTTCATAATAATCCTATTTTATTAGTGTTGCTTGAAGAGTATGATTGCAAAGCAACATTCTACCGGCCATCGATTGACTACAAAGGACAAAAATGGCCACCGAGATACATTGAATACAACTGTTCCTATGTCTTGTATCCATACATTGAATACAACCGTTCCTGTGTCTTGTATCCATACATTGGGTACAACCGTTCCTGTGTCTTGTATCCATACATTGGATACAACCGTTCCTATGTCATGTATCCATACATTGGGTACAGCCGTTCCTATGTCTTGTATCCATATATTGGATACTATGTCTTGTATCCATACATTGAATACAACCGTTCCTATGTCATGTATCCATACATTGGGTACAGCCGTTCCTATGTCTTGTATCCATACATTGGATACAGCCGTTCCTATGCCATGTATCCATACATTGGATACAACCGTTCCTATGTCTTGTATGTTCCTATGTCATATTTATACCATAATAACTTTAGAGAATAGTTCGGGATCAAAATTCATCCAGTTCTCATATCAATTCAGCAAACTCTATATTACATTTTTTTCCGTTTCGTTGTTTTTTTTACATATTATTTTACACAATAGGGGCTGTATACTGATGATAAATTTTTTATTCTCTCATAATGTAAATTCCTTCAAAATTTACACCGAATTTGCTCAAATTTTCAACGTATTTTCGTAATTTTAATGAAAAATTCTTGAAAACATATTTAATAGCTACAGACTTGCATTTGTATATTATTCATGCATTTGTATCTATTTTATTTTCGCGTGGAACAAAATTCTGTTCCATTGCTGAAAATTAGTTTCATCCTCAGAACATGTTTTTTACTCATTAAGAGTAAAAAACATTAATATTTAAATTAACTATAGTGCCTCCGAAATCAATCGGATACCATACATGAAAATTCTTAGTCTTAATCCTAATTCTGTTCTTTAGCAAAATCTTTCTGTATCCGAGATTCAAATTTATTTCAGTTTGACGTAAATGTTCCATTATTCACGAGCTTGATCCGGAAAAGGACCTAATTATTTTGTGTTGTTATCAATCTTTTTAAATGCGAATTTAGGGTGAACCGGCTTCGTTAGCACAATTTATAAATTGCATTTCAGTGCGTAAGTAGATCAGGACCAACCTAGGTTTTCTAATAGAAATATGATGTTATCATCGACATTATTGCAAATCCATTACTTATTACTTATCAATTCCCAAATTGAAATAATACACCTACCTCATTACATTAAATATTAATGTATATTATAATATCTAATTTTATAGTATGAATAATAGATTCATATTTCCAATTTCGTTTCAAAGAAAATAAAAACGATTTTTCATTCATTTATACATTTATTCAGTAAACAGTGATTTGTAATTAGCTAATTTATGGTCTTATTCCCTAACTACCGCACGTTCTTGCTGTTGTGTTCAGTGTGCGGTGAAAACACTGACCCAGAAGGGTCAGTTTATTTGAGGCCCCCACCTAATTTATTGATGTTGTGTGTAATTTGTTTGTTCTTGTCAACTTGCTAAACAGTAAAGGACAAAATAAAAGCTTGTTATTTAATAACGTATTATAATATTGACTGACATTCTGTGTAATTTGTTTGTTCTTGTCAACTTGCTAAACAGTAAAGGACAAATAAAAGCTTGTTATTTATTAACGAATTATAATATTGACTGACATTCTGTTTAATTTGTTTGTTCTTGTCAACTTGCTAAACAGTAAAGGACAAAATAAAAGTTTGTTATTTATTAACGTATTATAATATTGACTGACGTTCTGTTTAATTTGTTTGTTCTTGTCAACTTGCTAAACAGTAAAGGACAAAATAAAAGTTTGTTATTTATTAACGTATTATAATATTGACTGACATTCTGTGTAATTTGTTTGTTCTTGTTGTGTTCAGTGTGCGGTGAAGTGCAGCTGCTGGAAATGCTCATGGAGGCTGGGGGCGACCCTAGCACGGCTGACATCCACGGCGCGTACCCCATACACTACGCCGCTCAGGTCTCACATCCATTACTAGCATTTAGCCTAATATCAATTTCTTATCTTGTATAATTAACTATCTTATAACCTTTATTCTTGAAATCTCTCATAGTTAACTTCAATTTTACTAATAACTTCACAATTGTTCTATCACATTAATTTTAATTCAACTTTTGCATAACATAATTTAGCTTCAACTTGTCCCTAATTTATTTCAGTCAAACTTAATTTCAAACTTGATTTTAATCTTATAAGTGAAAGAATGGAGATGCTTATTTCCATCACAAAAAGTATGCGCAGCCATCTTTGGGTACATCGTTCCTTTATTTTGTATCCATGCATTGGATACAACCGTTCCTATGCCTTGTATCCATACATTGGATACAACCGTTCCTATGTCATGTATCCATATATTTTTAAAGTCACTGATCCATTCCACACATCCCCCCCCCCCAGATGTGTGGTCCCAATGGTGACCCGAGTCGTGACATGTCCCGAGGTCTGGAGGTGCTGAAGACGCTCATACAGTACGGCGTGCCGGTCGATGTTAAAGACAAGGACGGCAGAGAACCCATGCTATGGGCTGCGAGCTCTGGTAATATATCAGGAGTTTCTCACAGAGAACATGTTGACTATATTGGTAAAACTTTAAGGAAATGCTTACAAATTTATAATTTGTGAACATCGAATAGATTTTATATTTTTATGTGGATTTGAAATATTGGGCAATTTTTTATGAACATGATATCCATTTGTTTCCTCTGATACGAATAAAAATTTAGCAAAAATATTCGGCGTATAAAAGCGCGTAAGAACGTTTAAAACATCGCAAAAAAACAATCTACTATTTTTTCATTGTATGATAACAAAAATGCAAAATTTTTTATTATATTTAGAAAAACTGATGTGAAAAGACAGTATTTTCAAATAATCTTTTGATGACTCTGTCTGAAAGACTTGATTAAAAAAATTAAGTTCATGTGTAGGCTACTAAGGCTCAAATTTGCATTCATTGTTTGAAATTGATAAAGAAATTACACAAAATTATTATATGATGGAAAAAAGGCAAGCATATCAATATAAAATCATAAGCCCAGGTAGCATAATGCACAGCCTGTGTTTATAGTAGAAAATCAAGTTTAAGGAGCATTCTTCTTGCCTTAAAATCCCATCTCACATTGAATGATAAATCTCTTCGGAACATTTCGGATTCGTTCAACATCAAAATTAATTCATATATATAATTTATTTTGAACCTTTTTCATTTGCTTTCTCAAAGCGTGCATGATGAGTGGAATTTGTAGCTCTCTAATTTTATTTGAAAAACTGCATCTAATTTAGTCGGTCATTGGCTTTTATTGTGCGTAATTCGTAGATAATTATTTCGTATCCCTTATTATTAGTGTTATTACACTAATTGTTAGTGAATGTTCGTTAGTATTATACTTTATTTCGTTGCAGTTTTTATTAGTATCGGTAGTATTAATTTTTAGCTTAAAATGTAGACCAAAATTGATTAATTGCTTTAATCTTGTGTCATTGTGTTTAGATGACTCATTTTCTGTTCCGCTGTTAGTTGTAAACGTAGGAGTTACAATATTTTGCTATTGAATGAAAACGATCAATCTTTAACATTTAATTCACCTACAAAATGCTCGATTCTACTGCTTCGAGAATACCACTTTTTTGTTGAAGGTTATCCTTAAATTTATAATTAATATAAATTTATTTATCATTTTTTCGAGATTTTTAACGCCCCAGAAATAATAAAATCGGATAAAAAATAAATTCAAAATCTAGATCAAGCCATTTGCTTGTCGTTCGTTGTAGTAAATGTTCCCTAATTTATTTAATATGCATATTTTTTATTTTTAATTTTCAGTGCTTTTTGTCGCTTTGAAAGTCTCGTATCCAAATCAAGAATATTCGAAGAAGCATTTTCATTCTTGATTTATGCGTAAAGCAGCAGTGCTATTCGTATAACCACACTTCTTTGCCACACTTATGACTTCGTCTAAGCATTGAACCGGTAAAAATTCTTTCCAAGTACATTTTCTATCACCGCAAACTGTGCACCGCAATCTGACCTTAGCATCAACAAATGTTCTTACGTGTCGTCACCATCATCATCTGTATCATCAGCTTCACTTGCTGTGATTGGTAATTAGTATTTTAGTTGTTTGCTTGTTACGTAACTTGAATTTAAATTGGTAGCATCATCATTGTCATCCATTTCTCATGATTCACCAGTATTTTGAGAGGTAAAATAACAATAACAAGAATTCTGGCTGGTTCAAGTTACGATATTATTATAAAGTATCAAGTATGTAAACACATGTAGTTTGACATGATACACCAGTATTTTGAGAGGTTAAAATAAAGATTACAAAAATTCTGGCTGGTTCAAGTTGCGATATTATTATAAAGTAACAAGTATGTAAACACATGTAGTTTGATTGATGTCATTATTGGATGTAAGGCCATCGAGGTGGGGTTGAGTGAGGCTGTGTTGTGCAGAGGTGCTGCCGTCTCACGTGTATTGTTCTTCAGGCAGCGCTGATGCCATCATGATCCTTAAGAAAGCTGGCGCCAGCGTCGTCGCTGCTGACAAAGATGGCCTCACAGGTGGGTTAAGCTCACGTAAATATGCATCAAGATCAAAATACTTACTGTCTTGCGTACACAGATAATCTTACAGGTGGGTTAAAATCTCGTGAAATATTTGCCTTCTCACAAAATCCTTTGGTCTCGCGAAATTAGAAAAAAATGAGATAGGTCTCACGGTTCGAATGCTTTAATCAGTTATTTCCATTTCAAAATTACTTCACAGTAGGTGCAGATTTTTGCGGTCTTGCCAGAGCCGAAATAATAACACAATTTTTCTGTCATTACATGCGCAGCCGACCTGTCAGGAACAGATCCCTTCGAAATCACATCCTTTGGAATGAAATGATTACAAACATTATTTTTTCCCTGTTGACTTAAGAAGAAATGATCTGGCATATCAGCTACAGTTATTCCAAGGCTCCTCAACATTCATTAAACTCAATTCACTCGACTGAAGCTGATCGATAAATTTATGCCTTTCCATTCTAATAAATAACTTTCTTTACACTCGAGGCGTAATTTTTACCTCTAAAAAGTTAATGCGAACATTTGCCATATTAGAAATAAAGATGCATGTTAGTTTTATTGCATACTGAAAGTACACTTAGAGCTTATAAGGGAAATGCTATCGTTCAGTTCATATAATCAATCGCCTATTCAATCATAATTTGGATAAACGAAAAGATGTGAAACATTGAAAATATAAAACAATATAAATGAAAATGTAAAACGATCAACTACTAGCGGCAAAAATTCATCACGCTGCTGTGCACGCCTTAATGTGTAGGGCAACATGGGGCAGCGCCCCCCCCCCCCTTTTTAAACTAAAATTTTGATGAAGTTTTAATTGATACGAGGTGGTTCTTTGTTTTGTTTAAAGGTACAACTAATGAGGAATGTATGATGTGAATTAGACGTCAATAGAGTTACCATGGGCGCTTTTCCCCGTGACACGCGTGGGCCCGTTGCCCCACTGGGAATCATTTCAATTTATATCGTGTCAACATTTTATTTTAAAAGCTAATAGTGTAAAATTGATCTCAAAATTATCCCTATAAATATTACGTTCAAAATATAATTCACAGTAATTTTAAAAGCTTCATCTACAGTAATCGAAAACAGTTTTATTCAGCGTAAAAAAAATTTTATCTGGGCTAAAACAGTTATTTACAAATAACTTAATAACGCAAACACTTAATAACGAAAAACGTAAATCCGCACTACACTTCACCCCAGTGAAACTGTCGACCGGCGGAGGTGAACACGGACCAATATCTGCCTTACTTAGCGAGAAACCCGCTATGGGCCCATGACCCGCAGTGGGCTCGCTGCCCCATGTTACCCTACTGTATATAACTTTAGAGATATGTTAATTAGTGTTTTCGCATCATTAATTGTTTTATAATGGCACATAGACTGAATTGCTATCACTTCCAATGATCGGATATTATTTATTGGCTTTTGTTTGCAATGCTGCAACTGTCGCTAAAAAATCATAAATGTCATAACTTTTCTAACATGAAAAACATCGTAACTGCATCTTTCGTAACATCTTGAGCATGGTAGAGTGGGATGCTACATATGGATTGATGAGCAAATCATTGCTGATTAACATAAACATGGTAAAGTAGCCTCAAACACTAACTATATTACGTGGTGTGCTTTTTTGATAGAGTTTTTACAGTATGGGTAATTCTCCCGCCAGAAGCATAAACGAAACCTGAAAATAGCTATAATAATAATTTGTCTGATATATAACATAAACATTTTTAATCAAGCAAGGCATGAACTGTCAGCAGTCAAAATAACCTATGCTCATGAGTCCGTGCACCATAGTTAATCCCCCTCATATACCAGTTAATAAAAGACTCGAGCTTCTTTTAATCGCTTTACTATTATTACATACACTAAATTTGCAGTGATTAATATACCATTAGACGACAACTAACCAAAGTCTTCATGTAACTTACGACTGTAATTCATCAATGACCGAAATATGGACTTATTTCAGCTCTTCATTGCGCTGCATCTCGCGGTCACTTGGACTGCATCGACATGCTCATCACGCTCTGCAACTGCGAGGTTGACTTGCTCGACTCCAACGGCTGCTCGCCACTCTTCTATTCCGTGACGCTCGGCCACGCAGACTGCACACATATTCTGCTCAACAACGGCGCCGATGCCAACAGACAAGACCGCAAGGGCAGAACGTAAGTTGGGGAACCCCAAGGGCGAGAGTTTAATCAAACTGACTGATGTGTAAGACTTTTTGCCACTTGAATTCATAATTTATCAAGTCCCCACAGTGATAATAATAACGTTTAAATTATAAATGAATTCAGATTCATCCAGTTGACTTTCCAATTGTTCATGGTCATCATGGTATTCTATTTTTGATTTGGCGTTTGTTCTTTTATTTTGTGATCCACGACAAAAGCATATCCATAATTATTACTAAATGATAACCTATCACAGCCCAGCTCACTGCGGTGCGGCGAAAGGTCAGCTGGAGACGCTGAAGTTGCTGCATCAGCATCAAGCTGACCTCTGGAAACGCAACGTCAAAGGCGACCTGCCTCTGCACGAGGCTTGTCAGAGCGGCCGCAAGGACCTGGTTGTGTGAGTGAACAAACAGTTTTCAAGCATGTATGTTCGTATTCATATGCATATATTTATTGCTTTCTATTCATGTTCCTATATTTTTTATTGGTTCTGCAATACTTGAGCTCATAACAGCTAGTTGCGCTTGAATTATGACTGATATGAATGCTGTGAATGCGTAAAATTATTTGAATAACAACCTCTACTAGGCAATCTGTGATTAGTTTTCTATATCAGCATTGTTCGCAGCGATCGTTGCAGGATACTTGTTCAGTAATTACTCACTATTTATTCAGCTTTTTCACAATAAATGAAAACAGCTATTCTACAATGAGAGCCAGTGCTTATGAAAATCTTATGATTAAAATTCATTTAGTAATCAATTCATTACCACTAATTCTTGAAAAATATTTGCGAATGTTTTAGTCTCGAACTTGTATTGTTAAATATTTAATGGTTACGGTTTCAGTTATGAACCTTCTTAATGTCGTAATTGTGAATGTCGTGCGCCATCCATCTCAGTTTTTAATAAACCCAACATTTCGTTATAATTAATTAATTGATTAATTTCTTCTCACGCAACCAGCTGGCTGCTAAGCATGATGACGGAAATGGTGAACGCAAGCAACAGCGACGGCAGAACTCCTCTTCACATCGCGGCCATCAACAACAACACCGGCCTCTGCAAGATACTCATGGACCACAATGTGAGTCTTGTCACATACTCATGGACCACAATGTGAGTCTTGTCACATACTCATGGACCACAATGTAAATGTTGATAAATACAAATGTGATTTGCAGCAGAATGAATGTAATATTTAATGTACACTATGATAAGTTGAACGAAATTCCTTAATGAACTAAATGTGCAGGGACTATGAATCCCTCGTAAATTCGAAATTACGACATGCACTTCACTAATTGCTGTTCTAAAAACAAAAATGAAATAGCTTAACTTTTTGTAGATAATGAAATGGCTATGTATCTTAGAACTCAAAATAAATTCTACATATTTTAATACTCTAAAGTTTGTTCCAATAAAAAACAACACATATATTACCAAACACCGCCAATACGCGTCGTGTGACGGCAGTCTCAGTCATTGCGTTAGTTCCTTCACAATTCCACGTCGTTGACCCGCCTACTGAATTGATATAGCAGTTTCAGCGTTTATTAGGCCGTATGCCTGTCGCCGATTCCTAACATTGCAGAACAACCACAGCTTGTTGCGGGCTTGAACTCGCAACTCACTGCACCAAATTTTATTTGCTCAACCGCCCAGCCTCTTTGCCGAAATTGAAGCTTACAAACGGAGCCTCAAACCAAAATTAAATATACATAATCCCCATAAAGATCGTGAGGTGCTGCTGAATCAAACCCCTACATCAATTTGCCGGCAATTCCGTGTCCCAAAGGTGTCAAATTTCAGCAATAGCCTTTCCCGCTCGACTTAGATATAGACATTCCAAATTCCCTGCTTATTCCTAGATTTGATATTCAAAATCACAACTTCGATCATCACGTGACGTACACTATTAATAAAAGCAGCAAAAATTCCCACCGAAGTGTGCCCTAATCACAACGGGAATGTTCAGGCTGCAGTGAACCCCATCATGCGTAACTCCAAAGGCCAGCTGCTGACGCCTGTGGACGCGGCCGTGGCGCGGGGCCATAAAGGCTGCGCACAGTTCCTGCAACTGCACGGCGCAACGTCCGCTGCCAAGCTCACTGATAAACGCGCTCTGCAACTCGCGCTCAGCAAGTCAGTTAGTGTGTGATGCTTGTTGCCCTCTAATTTAATTACTGTTAAGAGCGTTCAGTAAGTCTAACAACAAAAGCATGTGACGCCTAGAGAAAAATATCGGTATAATATACGTATGAATAAATCGGAAATACGAGGATTTATTTTGAGATGAAAATTAATAAGTAACTCGGTCACTTTTTAATAAAAATTTAAGCTTGTTAACTCCTGATTTAATTACTGTTTAGAGCCCTCAGTAAGTAAGTTTGTGTATAGTGCAGTGGTATGTACTACATGTGATACATTAGATAATATTAATATTATTTCCTTTTGTATGGTTGAGAATAAAAGTAAAGAAGGAAAAGTAAGTAAACTCATCGTCAGCTATCAGAGACCTCGCTGGTGACAGCCTCTGGAACTAAATCAAGCAACGATATCTTACATTCGTTTTGGCGTAAAATTTTCGCAATTGCTCATTGAAAGAATAAAATATAACAGAGCTATATACGGTAGCTCACATTGATGACCGCCTTCGAACAACTTAGAGCTATGCTGACCTTATATATTTTGTTATATATTTATAAACCAATTTATGATTATTTACGCCTTTTGCGATTTCCATGCAATTGTGAAGTGATTTATAATAATTTATTAAAAGACTGAATAACCAGCAGAGCTATGGAGGGCGGCAGCGGTGACCGTACGGGCGCCACCCCTAACAGTGAGCTGGGCTACCAGGACCTGCTCATACCTTCGTCAGCGACGCCTGGGACAAGGACTCAGGACGCCTCCACCCTCATGGCGGCCCAGCTCAAAGACATGGGCACTGACACACAGGTATTGTTCTTATTTATAGGTAATGTTCTTATTTATAAGAAATTGTTATTATTATAGGTACTGTACGTATTTATAGGTATTGTTCTTATTTATTAGTGTTGTTCTTATTTATAGGTGTTGTTATTATTTACAGGTATTGTTATTATTGTAGATATTGTTCTAATTTATATGTGTTGTTCTTATTTATAGGTATTGTTATTATGTAAAAATGTTGTTATTATTTATAGGTGTTGTTCTTATTTATGGTATTGTTCTTATTATTGTTCTCTACAGCAAGTAATACTTGCGTCTTGCAAGGTTCATAATTTTTGTTGCAGATAAAATGAGTGAAGTATCTTATAACCCCATGTTCATGGTCAAACAATATAATATGAAGAAAACATTTGAAATAATGTCGAGAAATTTAAAAACCTTTAATTAAAAAATCAAATAAAATCGAGAAATTGAAGATCTAAGAATTACATTAATTGCTTCATGTTCATTTTAGTTCATAAAAAATCCTCGCTGCCATTCACAAATTAGTTATGATAAAATTACGACTCATAGTTTGATTATGGCTTCATCGCCGTATGATGGCTGGAGATTATTCTATGGTCAAATAACGCATACTACGGACAATAATCGTATTTTGCGATTAATATATAAGGACAGCCATATATTAATTATATTACAGCCGTATCAATTGTATATCGTTAGTTCATAAAAATAATACTTCTTGCATATTATAGTGTTGATACACAAATTGTTCATCTATCTTTATCACCTGTGGGTTAATTCAACAATTCATTCATAAATTTTATTCTGCCAAAGGAAAGGAGATGTGATTAACTTCCTGATGTAATTGGTGTTTCAATGTTTGTGTTGATGACGTGGCTCACACATCCCTTATAGTCCATCAGCAATGGATCTCAATAAGCTTATTGAGTGTCATGCACTTCAAATTTGTCACGAAGATTCAGTTTTTCAATATTTTACACATATTCAAATTTTTCATTTAAGCGAGCAATTCCTCAGTGGAAAACTCCGTCGCATTTCTTTACGATGTCTAATTGTCAATCACCTGTCAATTATCGGTCAATCACCTATCAATCACCAGTCAATTATCGGTCAATCACCTATCAATCACCTGTCAATTACTAACTCTATAAGTACCTATAGCAAGCCTGATTATTAGTACTATGCGAAATTTGTATATTCAAGTATCCACTTTCACGTATAAACAATAGGCATCTAGATACATTAATTAACTTGTTGATGTTTACGTCTATACTTTGCGTGAAGTAAATAAAATTCCTGTTACATTTGTTAATTTGACGTGATGTGACTTCTTAATACAACCAATTGTAAATAATAAAAAGTATTATTGTTTTAAATTCTATTGAACGTCATTAATTGAAAACCAATGCAACTGGTCGCTATGTATTTATTTAGTCTGAAGACAGTGCTCCTTACAAGAGGGCTCAAGAGCTGCTTGCAACGTTTTAATCCTATAAGTTCTTGGTACTAACAGCTTGTCCACGCAATTAATTTCAAACCCGTTCGATTTCTTGGATGGCTCACAAATTTTGGCAACTTGTGTAAATACCGTGGCGCTCAATTTTGATATTTATAGATTTTTTATTTTTTATATACTTTGCTTGCGAAATTTTGCCGCAGTTCATTTCATATCAACAGAACACTCTACAAAATTACGCTATGAAATTCTGGTGGTGACTTTCTTGCAACGAAAATACTCGAACTTGCTAGCCCACTGATTTTCCTAAGGATAAATTCACTGACTTGGCATTCTTCATTTTATTTCTTTTTGTGCTTAATTCCTTCATATTCTTACCCAGAGACACGTGTAACTCACATCTGATGCTCCTCAGACTCACAAAACATTATTGTGCCATTTTGCGTTTATGTCCTTTTACTTATGGGCATCGTCAGAAGGAGAAATACTATATTGCAATGATTTTATTATACTGTTGCTATTATTTTAGTATGCATTTTGTGTTATGTGTTCCGTTCACCTTACAGTCCATTTTTTGACCTATTCGCACATGAGTGTCGCATAACATTTTGCATTCAGAGTGAGCATTTGTTGTTTGTCTTGCCTATAGACGACATCAGAGATAAACATTCAGGAGTTGGTCGTTCAAGAACCCCAGATGGCAAAGGTGGTACACGAAGCTCGTGCTCAATACATCAAACGGAAACAAGAACAGCAAACACGACAAGAGGTTCATCAGGCCATGGTTCATCAGAGTCAGAGTGCCCAGCTGTCTGATGATGAGAAACAACAAGTGATGAATGGCAGTGAAGTACAAAAATCAGATGCTGAGCAGGTGAAAGACGAAAACAACGAACAGGGAGATAGTGAAGCCGAAATTCAATACGATGGTTCGAACGGTGCGCCATCCGACGAAGAGGCGTATTCTGATGACTTCGAAGATGACCAGCTACCGGAAGATATGCCTATAAAAGAAAAACCAAAAAGTATTTTTGCTCTTAGTAAATCAGATGAGGAGAAGTTAGAGGCTCAAAATAAGAGGTTAGCCATGTTGAAGAAGGAAAAATCGTTGAAGAGAAGCAAGGAATCGAAAAAAGTTAAGGCCGATAGAGCAAAGTCATTAGAGTCAAAGCCACGACGACACCATCGTGGAGAAAATGTCTTATCTCATGCCCAATCAGCTCGAGAGATTACGGAAGTCGGTGGAGTTGAACCCAGTCCTGCAGAAATGAATTTACGAGAGCAACAATTAGACCCTGATACTAAAACTTCACATAGCCGTCAAGATGCAAGTGAAAAATCCAAACATTCAGATAAAACGCGAAATAGTAAACAACAGGAAATTTTGAAAACTTCAACTGATCATTCAACTGTTTTTCATGAACAGCCAACACACACACAGCATAAAACTCATTCATCGAATAAACAATTCAAAAATCCGGCAACAGAAGCGAGAAAAATGTCGACAGAAAAGTGTCAAACTTCGATTGAACAGAACACGAATTCCGACGCGCAAGTCTCTGAAAAATCAAAAAAACTTCGACATATGGAAACAACGGACCTTATCACCGAGAATAAAGTGACGCCACTTGTTGATGGTAAAGAACAATCGAGTGACGCTCAAGGAACTGGGTATCCTAACGTGCTGGAAAATAGTAAGTTTGAGGCGACAGACACTATTGACATGGTTGACTCGATGGTTTTGGGTGAAAAAGAGGAATATTCGTTGAAATCCATAGAAAACAGCATCAAAACTGATACTTTGGAGAATGCAGTTGGTATAAAAGAAATAGGACAAGCAATGACAGGAGAAGTTCCCACCTCTGCCATTGGTCCCGAGAAACCTGAGAAGGATAAGAAGTGTTCGAGTAAGTCACGATCATCGAAACACAGTAGTTCAAAAGAACGGAAGCATAGATTAATAGAAGATACTGTGGTAACGGAGAGTCCAAATGTAGCAGCATATTTCAAGGAAGGTTCTGATTCCCACTCTGCAAAATCAGATTCTAGAAAAAGATTCAGTCGTGAAGGCCACAAAGATTCTACAAAACATGAAAACAAAATTACACAAGAAGCAGAACAAGAAAAAGCAATTGAAGAAAATTCTATCAACTATTCTCGTGGATCGCGGTCTTCTGGAAGATCAGGCACGAGAGAAAAATTAGAGCCGGAGGTGGAAGTTAAACTTGAGGGCGAGAATGGCACTGCCGCTGTTCCAAAACTTGAAGAAGATACAGCCACGCGATCGTCCGGTAAGTCCCGTTCATCGAAAAGGTCCAGCTCAAAAGCTAGTGAGAGAGGCGGATGTAATCGAAGTCGCTCCGCGTCTCGTTCTAAGCCAGACCAAGTTGAAGAAAAAGACAAGAATTCTACGAGAAGCAAGTCGAGTGTGGATGAACATAGAAAGTTTGGTTCTCGTGGCAAGGATAAGCCAGACGATGAGGTTGAAGTTAAAGCAGAAAAAATATTGAAATCAAAATCGCATAACTCTGGAGAAAACATAACCACTTTAGAACAAAATGAAAATAGTGTTCCGCCAAATTCCAGAAGTCTTGATGATAAGGGGATGCAAGCTCCATCTGAAAGTGCTCAATTTGTGAAGACGTCAGAAAACACCACTAAAATAACGGATCCTGATACTAGGGAAATTTCCTTGATTGTCCCTCAAGGTTCTGTTGACAGCAAAGATACATCAAAAAACGAATCCACAGGGCAGAAGGAGTTGGCCAAAACTTCGGACATGAATAGAGGAAGTAGAAGAGTTACGATGAGTGAGGTGACAGAAAGGTCAAATTTGAGCGAATCTGCTAACGAAAAGAGTGAAGGCACAGACAGTAAAACTTTTGCCAACAATACCAGCCAAAAAATCGATCAACCGAAATTAATTGACATTGAAATAAATGGTAGAAAGTTTACAAAAGTCTTGAAAACAAAGAGTGCCGAGGCAGAAGATGCAGCATTGGAAGCAATGAGCTATAAGGTTACCAGAAATGCCTTGGGCTGCCATCGAAGAAGAAATCGATCGAGATCAGGAGCGATGGAAGAAACTGGATTACAGCCGCTGAGGACACCCATACGGCGAGTCAAGTATTCCGACTTGCCAAAGCATCACTGTCACGGGAAAGACGTCAGGATGCACGAAATGCACCTCCTTGGGATTGACATGCCTGAGCTGTCATCCTTATCTCTTAGGGATATCACCCCGCGCACCAAGAAGGTAGAGTGAGCACTTGCAGTTAAGTATTTCTTTGTTTACTTTTTCGTGTGTTACATTAGCTCTTTCTTTGTGTGTTTGTTGTACAGCCAACGTACTTGCTTGCACATTGCACTTTATATAATGATTTATAAGATAAGTTTGGCTCTAGGTTTTCTCACCTGAATTTCTGAAGCAAGCGAGTGGTTTTCGTTCCCAAGGAATCTGGTTATAGTGGCTCACATCGTGGTGACTCTGAACTCGACAATCTCTCTGAAGATGAAGGAGATATTGTTTCTAAAAGCGCGATCAGGAGGAAGATGAGGAAGGAGAAACTTCAGGCGCGAGAGAAAGAGACTCCTGATTACCGGTCCGACCAAGAAGAAACTGACGTAAGATAATCGTATATAAGTTTTCGTAATTTTGGTTATTTCACCATTTGAGTAAGATTTACAGTAATGATTATTCTTTTCTGTTTACTAGAAAGGAATAATCTCAGCAACAGAATAAAAAATATATATCATATGAGAGCAGTCGAATTTGCTGTAAGGAAACCCAGATTTTCAATTCAATTTGTTGTGTTACCCAGATTTTCAGCTTCATATGCTTCAGTCTATTTTAACCGACAGTATAATGTGCATCAAAAATACGAATATATTCGTCGTATGATAAGCCTTTTGGAATATTCATGGAGCGTCTACTAAAGAAAATTCCGAGGTAATCGACGTAGAATTCGTGTCTTACTACTCGAAAAAAGAAAACATCATTCATCTTCCCAGCAAGAAGATAAGTTTTTATTATGACCAAATATAACTTAATACGTGTATCTTTCTGCCTATTCTACAGGCTTTATCAGACAGACAAGTCAGAAAGAAAGGCGGTCGCTACAACGAAGACGGCGACATGTATGACTTGGACGACGCTTACGCCGATATGGACGACCTGCCGCGCCATCTGTCGGCGCGCAGGGCGGCTAAGAGCAAGGGCCGCCGGCACAGCGATGGCGGCGAAACGGTTAGACCTACATACTTAGGATATGATCAATACGTTTATTTTGTTGGATAAAATCCGTCTTGATGATGAAATGGTTAAACTTCAACACTTACTTCCTAATGACGTTAGTCTCAATGAGTTTATTTGGCTTCCTAATGACGTTAGTTTATGCTGGATAAAAATCTTGGTAGCTAGGAAACTGTTTGATGTTCTTGAAAAATTTACACTTGCTGGTCAAGGTTGATGTATATAAAAAATTTATTTTCTTGATCTTTCATATATGCTAATATGTTTGGTATTGTAATGAACTGCTTTGTATTTTACCCATGCCTGTAGTATACTTATGCAAATCTCGTGATTTACTCAAATTACTCAATGCATGAACTATTGCAGCAAACTCTCTGTATTGTTTATCATTCGATGACATTTTTGTTCCGAATAATAGATGAATTCTTGCACTGTTGAGGGTAATGCCGTAAAAGACATGAATGCTGATGCTGAATGATACTCAAATCCTGCAATTAGGCTCCGTGGATTTTGTGAAAAATGTATGCATTCATGTGTCCATATCATCAAACTTACGAGAACATAAAAAAAACACTCAGAAATGCACCCCAATATATTATTCAGCACTAAAACTAATCGATTGGCTGACATAAGAGCTTGTAAATTTTGAGTGCATTTGTGAATGCTGTATGAACTTTAAATTGAAGCCAATTCAACAGAAAATTTGCTAATTTTGGTACTCGAAGCATAAAGTGATCAAAATCAACAGTTCAAAACGAAGTTAGATGCATAATTTTAAACTTAAATCCCTAAAAGTTAATCCCTAAAAGTTAATAATTCTCCAGGGTCACTCAAGCGATACCAACAGCCAGAAGAAAGCCAACCGCTCCGCTCCCACGGAGATGTCCATCACTCAGGCCATGCAGACCACCATGCGCAAGTGAGTCCTCCGTAATATTGCGTCCTAGGGCCGTATATGCGCAACTTGCTTCAGTACACGTAGCGGCCTAAAATTAAGTACACGTAGCGGCCCAAGTACATGTAGCAGCCCAAGTACACGTAGCGGCCTAAGTACCCGAAGCGGCCCAAGTAGTAGCGGCCTAAGTACACGTTGGCCTAAGTACAGGTAGCGGCCTAAGTACACGTAACGGCCTAAGTACACGTAGCTGCCTAAGTACACGGAGCGGTCTGAGTACACGTAGCGGCCTAAGTACACGTAGCGGGGAATGCTTCAGTACACTAGTGCACTTGAAAATTTGTATATAAATATTATGTGTTGAATCGTCTCCCCTCAATTATTATGAATTATGATGCACGAATTCCGATAATATTCGCCTCTCAATAAAAAATATTCATTTCAGCGGTTCTTTAACTATGTCGCCAAAAATGTCATAATTATAATCGATAATATAATGATGCCATTATTTTGATTTTGCTTTAAATACCCATTGGTATAATTTGAACAATGTCACAAAATTTATCGCGTGCTACATGGATACTTATAACCTTTTTTACATCAATATATTAATTAGGAAAATGATCAAATTGCTGATGCCGCAATAATTACTAAAAAGCGGTAACTCTATCAATAATATTGTTAGGCGCTAGAGCGTTGAGTTTTTAGACTAAATGCACTGCAGTGGAACGGTGACACTAGCGTGACTGAAGCAATAGTTAAGACGGTCACTCAAGTAAATCCCTTAAGTTACACACTAGCAGGAACATTGACTTTAGCATGTCTGAGGCAAAGGTTAAGATGGTCACTCAAGTAAATCCCCCAAGTTATACACTAGCTAGAACGTTGAATCTAGCATGTCTGAGGCAATTGTTAAGATGGTCACTCAAGTAAATCCTTTAAGTTACACACTAGCAAGAACATTGACATTAGCATGTCTGAGGCAATATTTAAGACGGTCACTCAAGTAAATCCCCCAAGTTATACACTAGCAAGAACGTTGACTCTAGCATGTCTGAGGCCAAAGTTTAGAAGGTCACTCAAGTAAATCCCTTAAGTTACACACTAGTAAGAACGGTTACTCTAGCATGTCTGAGGCATTAGTTTAGAGGGTCACTCAAGTAAATCTCTTAAGTTACACACTAGCTAGAACGTTGACTCTAGCATGTCTGAGGCAATGGTTAAGATGGTCACTCAAGTATATCCCTTAAGTTACACACTAGCTAGAACGTTGACTCTAGCATGTCTGAGGCCAAAGTTTAGAGGATCACTCAACTAAATCTCTTAAGTTACACACTAGTAAGAACTGTGACTCTAGCATGTCAGAGGCAATGGTTTAGAGGGTCACTCAAGTAAATCTCTTAAGTTACACACTAGCTAGGACGTTGACTCTAGCATGTCTGAGGCAATGGTAAAACGGTCACTCATGTGAATCCCTTAAGTTACACACTAGCAAGAACGTTGACTAGCATGTCTGAGGCAATATTTAAGATGGTCTTTAAACTATATCACCACAGGTACACGCTTGAACGGCGACTCTTCCAACACTTGCTGGAGCTCAAGCGTCAGCAGATTCGTAACACAAAGGTCAACGAGTCCGTCCTTATCAAAAGAATGTCCGACGCAAATAACCGGTAAGTTGCATTCAAGATTTCTAGTCTTGTATTGGATTATTTAATATTCAGGAGTGATTTAATGCAGCTTCGTGCGATACAATCTTTATTCAGTATTGTAAAATACTGAAAAATAAAGTTTCGCTCAATGTAATCAAATTTGTGTTGAAACAAATCTGATCAAATGTGAGTCAAATTGGACATATATAACAAAATTTTAATCTGATTGAATTAATTGCATTCAGTCTTTGAAAATTTTATGTGTTCATGCCGTTTTTGTGCTACAAAAGCTTTTGCAGTTTTTTCTGTTGATTTAACACGAATTTTAATTAATTTCTGTTCATCTAAAAAATTGACCGTGTTAAAAATGAGGCAAGGTCTAAGCTAAATATTATTTAGTGCGGCACAAGCGATAAACAATTAATCTTTTCACAGGGACAGCACCATGCTGGGCTTGAGGGGCTACGCTGGACCCATGACATTTCAGAGCTATGAGAAATATCTTTATGGTACGCGAGTCAATTACTTTAAAACAAATATGTAATTACACATTTTTATTTAACTCGCCGTAATATATGGTATATTTTAGCTTACTTACTCAAACACAAAATTTACCATAACAAGCTCTTATAGGAACTGGAGGTTTGGCTTTTATCTCAATTGTTATAATTATTATTCTTTACTGATTGAATGAATCCTTTCGTGCCTCTAAAAAGTTTTTATTTACGTATTTGTTTTCTTTTACTCGTGTTTTCGATTAATAATTTTTCGACTACATGTTCTAATTTCTACTCGGCAGAACAACTGAAATTTCTACAGAATTCACAAGGCGAAAAAATTCCCCAATTCAAACCGATGGATGACGTCGAAAAATTGAACAGGGTGAGAATTTTTTGTTCGTTACATTTGGAGTTCCAATGGAAACGAACGTGAGAAACTTTTCTAGGAAAGGTTGTAAATTAAAAATAAGCTGTTCAATTTATCTTGCGAACTCTTCACGCTCTATTATAATTGTAAATTTCATATATGTGGTAAATTCACTGAAGGACTGACGTGGCTGTAAATGAACAGTTTGTACAATGTGATTCACGAAAACTTCCTGATTCTAAAACTGAATAAAAGAAGAACTACTAGAGATATTATTATATTAAAAATTTTATTGAAAATAAATTACTTGAATTTATGTATCATTTAGAGTTTTATTGATAACATTGAACAAATGACGGCTCCAATTGTGGATTCATTCAGTTAGTTGATTTTTTAAGTTCCGTTCAACTAACTGAAGCATATTGACGGGTATGTTGGCGATGGCTTGGCGTATGTTGTTCTTCAAATGAGATAGGATTCTTAAACAGTCGTTGTAAACAATTTATTGAAGATTACTTGCCCTAAATGTGTTCACCCACGTAACAATTAATTTCCGATCAGGAACCCGACAAGAAGGACGAATACGGAACCGTGTACTGAATGCTTGTTTAGTAGCGATTAGAGAACGGCCATTAAAAAATTACGCCTGGAGAGCAAACGCACGCTTCTCGCTTGTTCAATGCATAGTGGCAACTGACTAGGCGGAATATAAAATTTATGACCTTTTTTTAGTGATATACTTGTCGTTATTTTCCCACAACAGAAGGCTGCTTTGCGCGATATATAAAACAGGAAGTTTTTTTTTAATCACCCAGTGAGAAAAATTACACAATTGAAAAAAATTACTACGCGATTGTAAAATCTCTCGGTATTTTGCACTAATTTGCACTGATTTTCAGAAAAAACAATTAATTCGTGTATCAACGAATGAAGCTCTGGGCTTGAGTTTATTATAGTCATGATTGTAAGAGTTGTGCATAACTTGTCCTGGAATGGCAGAAGCTACACTGTTCGAAAAAATGGCCCCACCTGCGATTTAGTGACTGGCTGTCACAAGAAATTCGACCATGATGGTACGAGTTTCATATGAAAACTTCCAAAAAAACTACAACATGGCTTTATTTCAAGGGGCGGCTGGCCTCTGAAACGTTGAGCCGACGATTTTTTCATGACCTTCCGACCATTGTATAGCAGTTTGTTGTCACTGATTTGCAGCACTCAAATTCAACATACCTTTTTGAACAAAACTAACACAGTTACCGACCATATGTCACTCAGGTTTTGCACCGAACGGAAATAGCGGAGAGCAAGCGGGTGGTGGGGGGTGGTCAGAGCAACAACATCGCGCCTGCAGACGACGACGACGCGACCCAGTCTGATCCGCGCAGCTGCTCCCGCCGGACGCATCGCTGCCACCATGCTGCCCATGCCTACACCGGCGTCCCTTGCGCTGCTTACCGTTAGTTACTGTACCACCATTATTACCAGTAGTTATATATATTAGTAATAAATATTAATTCTGTATATTAGTTATATATATTAGTAGTAGATTTTGATATTATACCGGTAGTTCAGAACAATGAATGTAAGTGAGTTCTTCGGGAGAGAATGCGATGGATTACTACAGAAAAAGACAAAAACACTGTCGTAAGCCCTTTCATTCATGATACTTAACATAACATAACGAAGTGATGTCTGCGCTGAAGAGTAGGCCTGATGTGGCCTGTCGCCGATTCTTGTGCTTATCGTGACTTGTCCACAGGAGATCTAAAAACATGTCCTTTGACCGGATCTTTTCAAAACTGACAATAGTTAGAAACATCTACTAGATTTCCACCTGGTTCGATATGGTGCTAGGCATTTCAAGTCTGAAAAAAACAGGCCTATTCTTCAGCGTCGTCCATGTTACAATAGAAATGTTGGTCGATGTCTTATAGAGCATCGAGAATACGAGGACAACATAGTAACGATTGGCATGAGCGATTGTGTTATGTGATCTATATTTTGACAGAACCGTCACCGGTCGTAATATATTACAAATAATTATTTTGCCTAATTTATACACCACTCCTACTCTCAGTGTCAAGACAAATGTCTTTTTTGCTTTCATTTATACATTTGTCTCGCGGTACATGTTCGTCAACTTTTCACGCATTCATATTTTACGATTATCTCGCTAATTATCGCCGAAAAATGTCTACAGTTGCCCCGAGAGGCAAGAAGTTCATCGAGCGTAAGATAAACAACTCGGAAGGTAAACTGAGTTTACCGAGAATAAGTGGAGCTTCAAGCCAAGCAGGATCAGGCCCTGCGACTTACCGTGGTAAAAACGTTAAGAAAAACACGGCCAAGTCAGAACAAATGGAGCAGCCTTCGGGCGCTGCCTTCATGGGAGTCCAAGGATATGATCCCAAGAAACCTCTCACTGTCGAGCTCCAGGTTTGTGATAAAGGGGATACCCTCCAAATTTATGTGATAAATGTTATCGTGCGTTTGAAAATCTGAATTTTTCATTTATTAAATATATTAAAGTATGGAAATTAATTCACTGATCTTACCACCTGACATGAACAAATGTTTCTATGACTAATTACATATTAATCAATTAATCATGTCAAAAAATGAATAAAATATAATACGAATGTAGTCATGGTGTGGGGAATCCCTCAATATTCCGAGGGATCGCCTGAAATAGCAAAAAATTGCTTCACTTTGCTTGCATCTTCAATCATGTTGTGAGCATTTATAACAACGATCAACACTACCAAAAAATGACATAGTTCAACATTATAAAGATAAAGCGTAAAATTATTAACAATTTAAATTTACTCACTTTGAGATCTTTTAAGTTTTCCAAACTTCCCGAGCAGCACGGAGGGACCAGACAGCAAATCGCTCTTCCATTAGAACTTCTAGACAAATCCAAGAGATATAATTTAAGATTTTCTATCAAGGTGATGTACTGAAGCTCTAGAAGAGATTTTCTCACGCTAGAATTGGCTTGCTTTTCTTAAATTTAATGCTAATAGCAGCTTTTTTCTAAATTGCTTTTGATTCTAAGGAATCTCAATGAACGCGATTTGAGTTTTTTTTTTAGAATAACCCTTCAAAAACTGAGGCAAAATTCTCGATATTAATCATAATATCTAAAGGCAAACATTCGGTTGTTCACATTGCTTGGAACTCAACTAGCTAATCAAACATTATATTCGAATGTACGTTAATTAATTAATTAACAATGTGGAAGATCTGTCGTTTGATTATAAAGTGACTAAAACTTGAATTTTATAAATTTTACGGTTATTATTCGAACTCTCAGCTAGGTAAAATATTAAATACCTGAATGCAAGCACGTTCGAAATTTTAAACGATGCAACCTATTTGACAATAATGTCCTAATGTCTTCAAACATGTGAATAACAAGCAAAATGAAGAATTCAAATGGCATAAATATTCAAAGTAAAGTATAATTCTGTACGCCCTTATCTTCAAGGAAGAAACTTCGATTTTAATCAAATGGTACCCAATTATAAAATATATTGTCATATATTCATCCGACTAGTAATTTTATATGACTTATGATTGGAGCTTTATTCATATACAAAAATTTGCATTTGAATTATTCAATTTCAGAAAATTTTGATTTGAATTGTATGTGTATGCAAACGCCCAAACACTTAAACTAACACTGTTTTATATTCTGGTACGTATATAACAAACATCAACTGAACCCACGGACAAACAAACACATTTAAATTTCCTAAAGCTGTTTTTTTCATTAGCATTATAAAGGCAGTTCATAATGAGATTTTTACAACAATTTACATCAATTTAGACTAGATGCCAGACATCTCAGTTCAGTCCTTGTATTGACATTTGACCATCAGCACAAAAAGACTAGCTCAATGGCGCCATTAATATATATATAAACCAAGTCATTATTGTACCGTATAGCCTGCCAAAGTCACAAAAACTGGCGTAAAGACTGGCGCAAAGAAAGACGCAAAGAATGGCTCAAAGACGGTCACAAAGATTGGCCCAAAGACAGGCGCTCTAACGCCGCAACAACTCCAAAGTCTTCGCTACTCGCATGCGATGCTCACTGCAGCGCTCAGACAAGCGGGCCGGAAGGTGTGAAAATTCTTCACGCGTCTGACACTCATTTGGCGCTTTATATTAAATCTTCATTTGTTCAGCAGGTCAAAGTAAATCTTTGTAGTAACCAAGAATTTACTATAGCACCAGTTTGATTCGTTGTTGATGAGATTCAAAGTGCTGCTCATACAATTTTCTTTGGCCGTTATACATTCGCTGTACATATGCGCTGTATAGATGCTAGAGCGCTATAATTCCTGTTACTTGTTGATGTAAGTAGAATTTGATTCGGATAATGGTTTCTCAGACATTGGAAGCACAGGTGTGATAAGTAAAGAAGGCCGCCAGAATACTGCACAGTATCTTTGCGTCGTATTTTTGCCGTAGTGAAACATCGAAGCCTCTTCACATTTATCGGCGAGTGTTAAACTCTATTTGATGTCTGACAATTAATTATCGTTTTTTTTGCAGCAGTGTAAATTTATACTGTAATTTTAATTCTAAATTATTCTTTCTTCTTAGAGTAGTACTATTAGATTAGTTTTTTAGATTATTATTCATTATCAGCTGTGTTTAACAATTAATTCGCATGAGAGATATTAGAACGTTGTTTACTTTCTTTAATTTGTTCATATTTTACGTAAAATACTGACAGGTTCTCACAGCGTTGACTGGGATAGACGATGCGTGCAATTTGAAAATCCCAGTTTGCTGAAATCCATCTTCCCGAGAGCCATCAATCAAACTCAATTTTTAGTTTTTTTAACTAACTGATAGTAATTAAAAAGAAACCTTCAAACCTACATTCGGCACAGGTCTCCCATTCAAGTGTGATTTTGAGATTTAAATTGAAACAAAGTGTTTCATTATTCGATAAGTTTTTGACTCTAACAAAGTGAGAATCACATTTTAATAATTTAAATTCTCATATTAATTTTTTGATGTTACTCGATTCTTCCATAACGATAATATTATTATTCTATTCCCAAGTACTAGATATAAATTCGACAAGCCCCTTAATACGTATTTCTAGCGCCATAGTTTGGACTCACGAACTATGAAAATAGGTAATAAATAATTTGAACTATTATAATTAACTAACTAATGATGAAGTTAAGGTCTTATGAATTTCTGTTGCAATAGTGGCTGCTCGGTCCTCAGTTTCGTCCTCGTTTGTGCAAAAATTAAATTTTCACTGGAATTAGCTGTGCCGTTGAAGCATAAAGTTCAAGCAAATATTTACCTCATTTACCTCTATCGGATTTCTTAATCACTTCTGAAATTACCTTGACGTATCATTGAAAATAATATTTATTATCCAAGTATTTCTCATTACAATAATCTGCAGCACCGTATTTATGAAGATATCTCCGCTTTATTTTGTAAAACAATTTTAAGTTTCACAGAATACTAGTTGAAACAATGAACTACACATGCCATGCACTCGCTACCCGTTAGCAAACAATAGTGTTTGTTAGTCTGTGTCAGCTTTGTTAGTTACAGGATTTATAAAATCAATAAATTATTATTATTTTTCAATTTTTCTGTAACTTTTATTTATTTTTCATCAAAGGTAAATGTAGTTCCATTTATTTGGTTCAGCCATTTATCTGCTTTATATTGTCTCATTTCCTAGCTCGTTGATATTGTTTTGCATTTCAGCTTCTGATTTTTTATTATACTTTTTTTTTATTTGCAAAGCCAATTTTTGCAATTTTTACAGTACTCTTCTACTGTACTAATTTGACAGTACTCTTGGCTGTTCACTTAAACAAAAATAACCATCCTTATAAATTCTAACAGTTTTTTTTGCAGTTTACTTGTCTGAAATAGCATAAAAAACAACACCACAACTGTTTATGCAATGATATTCTTGTGTCCTAATGAATAACATTATCGCTTTCCTCCTTCTATGTAACTCCAGTGTTTTTGTTAGCCAATTTCCCTGCCTTTCATACATCCTAGCCGTCTTACGAACCATCTTAGACTCCCTATTTCTTCGGTATACATTGTATACGTTTTAAAATACATCTGCATTGTATATTTTGTTATGTACGTCTCCAAAACCTCATAGAAACTAATGAGGAGTGAGAGATGGCTTTCTTCCATTATTAAGCGTGTCTCTGACGTCATCTTCTATTAATTCAAGTTTTTCAATATTTACATGCGTATGAAACCTTGTATCGGTCTGAATACTTGGCCAGCCGACTGTGCCATTATTTCAAGCTAACTTTTCTTCAATATTGTTTTACCTTCAAGGTCCCAATTTGTTATCATTGCCGATCCTTGAATTTTTGCTTTGTATTAGACATTGGTTTTGGCTCCATCCAGTGTTCAGCGCCCATTTTAAAAAATACAGTATAAAATAATTTGCAATGTAACTAATTAAATTCGTACCAAGCTCCAATATTCGAACCAATAAAATACGTATTATATCTTAACACTCGAAAAGAGTTTATTTTTAATGCCTGTTGTTCTATTTAACGATTCCATTTCTTTAAATTACTGTGCAATCCATAATTATTTGGTAGCTACCCAATTAGTTTCATATATAACTCGGAACTATTTTGCAAATCTGTATGTTGATTTAAAAATCATTTAATATATTTAGCAATAATTTAAATTCATTTCAGCAGCCAAGTACTCCTCCCAAAACTGAGGCTGCGTCCACAGAGGACGGGACGGAGGCAGGCTACACCCCTAGCAGCGCCGGCGGCCGCAGCACCAGAGGCACCGCTCGTTCACGCAGCCCTGAGACTGAATCTGACTTGACTGAAAAACCGCAATCTGATGACGCATAAAATTATCCAAATGCGTATGAAAAGCCGCAATCTGATGACGCATAAAATTAAGAAAAGGTGTATGAAAAGCCGAGATCAGTAGGCGTATAAAATGGATAAGCCATTCGAGGAGTGTGACTACTGTTTACAGTGACGCTTTACATGGAATGGTGGCCTCGGACACCGGCGACGGAAAATCGTATGAATTAATCAGAATTCTATCTTCAATATATTTTTGGTGTATGTATTTTCAAATGAATTCTTTAAGAGGGTTTTCAGCTAGTGATGAAGTACAGTCATTACTGTGCAGTTGATTTTGAATTTTATTTCAACTAATTGTACGGCTGCAGACAACCACAATTTTTTCTTGTGAAGGTCGCCGGGCTGAGAGTTGTGATCGATGAAAAATTTTGCTCTAGAAAATACAATTATGTTGCTAGTCAGTTCTTCTATTGCACACACTGTGAGTGCAGTATAGGCTTTTGTGAGCACGGTATATGATAACACCGTATCCGGACTGAGAAGCTATAACTCTATTAAAGTACACTACAATCTGAGATGTGCAGAATTATTGCGTTGAACTTTATTGTAAAATATATGTACATATTTATATTCTTAGAAAAAGTGCATTTATTTAGCTTAGTAATTTCTGAGTAAGAGCTTGTAACTAAAAGTTAAATTTAATCCCCGTGTCCTTTGCATAGTTCGGGAGGCTCGAAAACATATTTTTCCAAAATTCTTTATAAAATCTTGTACTACTTTCTCACAAAACTCGAGATTCGTTCACAATTAATTAGGAGGCAATGCACATTTCCTTCGGATAACTTGAACTGAATTTAATTGCATGAGAAATATATAAAATATATGCCGTGACTCACTCCAGCATCGGACGACCAACATACAGTATCTCTTTATGTTCAGTTACATCCAGCTTGTATGCTGTGAATTCACTTGTCGGTATTTGGAGGTGGGAATTACATCTTGAATGCAAGAAAATCGATGATAACCAATGGCTATTATTTACCCTGCCATACTGCCTGTCTGCAAAGTTTGATTTGGTATATTAGTCGTTCCAACATAAAAAATTTATCTGTTACTTAACCTC